GGCAGGCTAGCCCTCCATCCCACCCTCTCCTCTCTCCCCTTGCTCTCCTCCCAGCTTTTCCTAACCTCAATCCAACAGGCAGAGTCTCCAGACCCCCTCAGAATCCCTGGGTTACAACCGTTTCCAATCACAGGGGGGTGAGTGTATAAAATCATACGGCATGCCTTTTCTTGGCCCTCCGCCGGCATCTTCATTCCTAAGATTGCTTTCAGTTTGCCATCCACAGATGTGGCCAAATCACTCATGCTATCTACAGCCCAGAAACTGCCAGTGCATTTAGAGAGAACGGAGTCCAGGCTAGCTTGTACCTATCTTTGGATAGGTGAGATTAAGAATTCCACAATTCCAACGCAACCCCCTCTCCATCTCTCGTGTAGAAACTGGCTGGATCCAGCTCTCATATCACAGCCTCCCTTAGTTGCTCAGTGCTCTCTCTTCAATGAATTACCCACTACCTGTCATTGTTGCAGGAGGAGGTAGAGGGAAATAGCTGCATCTGGGGATAGTGTGACAGGGCAGGTCCCTCCCTTTTTAGGAATCACTCTAGGAAGCACTGTGCACATATTAGCCTTATCGACTGATGCTGGAATGGCCGTTGCCACGGCAGCAGAGCACTCCCACTGCAGAAGAGGATGGTGGGAAATTCAGGGATATGAAAGGAATAAAAAAAGGAGCAAGATAAAGGGAGAGGTCATATTAGGAAGTGTTGGAACATTCTGGATGCCATGATGTCTATTTTAAGGGCTCACTACCTAGTCATGGCAAGACCCTTTAAAGACTGACCGGGCAAAGGCCAGCAGTACTATAAGGGCTGGTGCTCAAGGGAGCTGTGACTGAGTTAACTTGTGACCTTGCAGAGACAGTATTCCTTTTTTTTTTTTTGTGCTGGTACTAGGGCTTGAACCCTTAGCTTTTTCACTCAAGGCCGGAGCTCTATCTCTTGAGCCACACCTCAACTTCTAGCTTTTTAGTGGTGAACTGGAGGTAAGAGTCTCACAGACTTTTCTATCTGGGCTGGCTTTAATCCATGATCCTCAGGTGTCAGCCTCCTGAGTAGCTAGGATTACAGGCCTGAGCTACCAGTGCCTAGCTGGGAGTATTTTCTGTTGTTTCACTGTCAGGGGACAGTTTATACAGGAGGATATGAGGTAGTAGCTTTAGATGATAGAGAGGATTGTGCCTCTCTTCTAAGCAACCTTCTTTTCTCAAAACCAGTAGATTTTCAGGAACTATTTATTGGTAGAAGGAAAAGGATTGGGATTTGGGGAATATAAAATCCCATGAGAGGGGGTCTAGGAGAATAAAGAAATACAGAGAGGAAGAGGAACTGGGCAGAAACAGGCTGTATTGAGAGGAAGGTCCTAGAAACAGTGAGCATCTGACAACAAGGAAGTGCAGGTGCACAGAGCATCAAGTGGAACAGTGTTTTCTAGCAACTCTAAGGTCTTGAACCTACATCTGTGGACAGCAGAAACAAAGAGCCAGAATAAGCCAGGGAAGAGAGTACCAGGTCTTGCCTGAGTAGAATGCTCTCCAGCAGTGTTCCTCATCCAAGATGGTATCCAGTTCATTTCCTTTTGCCAAGGAGGAGATGAATTTATATGCAGGAAGAGAACCTATAGGCAAGTAACACCATGTAACTATAACATGGTAAATTCAGACACCATGAGAATTCAGCAATTCCTAATGTGATATCTTTTAAAAATATTTTTATCTTCAAGTAGTTGTACAAAGGAGTTGCCATCCAACAAAGCAGTTCATGAATATAGTGCCTCTTGGTCAATGTTGCCCCTTTACAATTCTCGTCCATTCGTCTCAACCCATTCCTTCCCTCATTTTTCTTAATTTTGTAGGCTGTGCATTGAATTTTGAGGCATCCATGTGGTTAAATTAAGGGCACTTTGTATAAATTAGAGAATGACCGAAGAATAAGGACTTTAGGTGTTTTATAAGCTACCACTCTGGAGGCTAAAGTAGGAAGCTCTGGAATTTGAGGCTAGCCTGGACTACAGAGTAAAACTCTGTGTCAAGAACAAAACAAGCCAGTGTTGGTGGCCTATAATCCTAGCTACTCAGGAGGTTGAGATCTGAGAGTCACTGTTCAAAAGCCACCCAGGGCAGGAAAGTCTGTGAGATTCTTATCTCCACTAAATTACCAGAAGAGAAGGAAGTAGAGCTGTGGCTCAAGTGGTAGAGTGCTAACCTTGAGCAGTACCCAGGTCCTGAGTTCAAGCCCCTATACTGGTACACACACCCAAAACAAACAAACAAAAAATCAACCAAGTTGGAGCCTGTGACTCAGAGCTGTAATATAGCTGAGTTCTGGGGATCATAGATCAAAGCTAGCCCAGGCAAATCCAAGAGACTCATCTCTTGTCAACCACGGGGGGTTGGGGGGGGGGGGGAGAGCCACAAGTAAGCTATGGCTCGAATGATAAGAGTGCCAGCCTCAAGTGAAAAAAGCTAACGGACAGCACCTAAGTCTTGAGTTTGGGCCCCAGTACTAGCACACATAATAAAAGATGATGGTTTGTGACATTATTAAAAGTGGCCAGTGGGATAGTGAGGAAGAACACAGTTGTGCTTTAAAATGTGGCAACAAAGGTAGGGCTTAATTCATTTTTTGAAATGGGATCTGTGCTTTCTGCATAACCATGAATATTCATATGTCCCATGATTGGTGTTCTCTATGCAGGGCCAAGTTCTGGCATGCTACCATTTACATACCTTTAAGGAGCTCCTTGATACTTCCTATGTGACCTGGAACCCTGGTTCTCCTAAGGTTTGGACTCAGGCCTCTGAGGACAGCCTGCCTAGACAGCCACACTGCCTGCTGATGAATCTTTGCACCCAGCTCCCTTCCTCCACAAATTTTGAGACAGTGCTTCTTGTCATTCCTGTGATTAGAATACACACGCCCATGCCTGTCTATCCTCCATCAATGTGTGTGACATTACATTCTCACAGGGACAGGGCTATTATTTCCCCAAGTCTTGTCTACTTTGCATTCTCTGTCTGACACTGAGTTCCTTGAAGGCAGAATCTCCATCTTTGTAACTCTAAGACCAGCCTGGGGTCCATGTTTCTTACCTAACCCTCTCTGTTTGAGGATCCGAGTTCTCAGTAGAATGGAAGTGCATCCTCTCTGCTATGATGTCTGTCCTTGAAGACTTTATGGTGTCCGGGCCAGCCCTGGGGGCACAAGAGGCAGAAAGTCTCCAGATACTGTCAGGAGTAACACAGGCTACAAGCCCCGTGCCCAGCATCTCAAGCTTCTGAATCTACTCTGCCATTACACCTGCTTCCTGCAAGTATAGAGACAGTTCCATGATGTGAGAGTTCCTGAGTTGGTACAGATAGGTACAAGACACGCATGAGACTTAATGCACTTCAGATTCTATAGGGAAGGAGAGAAGGGACTAGAAAGATGGAGTTTGAGGATAGGGGAGAATGCAATCTGATGGATATACCACGTTTTGGCAGAGTTCCTAGGGCTCTACCATTCCCAATGGGTACCTGGAGCCTGTCCTTCCCGAAGCAAGCTTGCTTTCAGAAACTACTCTCTACTCTCTCTTGTCCCTCATCTTTCCTGAAAGCCTTTGGCTCAGACAACCTGGCACTGTCCAGGAAGTCAGGCAGTGCTGTGCCCTCTGCTGAGGGAAAGTCTGGGCAAAATGCTGAACACTCCATCTGGCTCTTGCCCCTGCCCCACTCCATCTCCAGGTAGGAGGGGAGGAAGGAGAGCTGGAAAAGTATGGAGTTTTGTTTTTTGTTTGTTTGTTTTAACAGAGCTGAAGGTCTGGCAGGCAAGGGAGTAAGGGTGGGTAGTTTGACACAGGGCTCTCTAGCTCCAGCACCCCTCTGTCCTAGGAAACTGGCATGATAGTCACTGTAAGGACCGAGTTCAATAACTTTGACAAGGTCATATATTTGACTGTGATGGAAATCGAGTCTCCTGAGCCTAAGGGTTAGTTCCCGTGTCTCCCGACCTGGAACTGTTCCCTGCTGCCTACGTAGTACGTCCACACAACCTCACACCTCAGAGACTGAAGGAAGGTAGGGTGAGGTTTCCTGGGGGTGGGGGGTGGAGGCGCAATCAAGGGGTTCTGGGGAAGAGACTGAGAACTTCCCCACCATCGGGTCCCCTAGTCCCTACCAGCTCCCCTTTTCCCTGTATTACCGAACTGGCATGCCCCATTTCCTCCCGTTTACCTGAAACCCCAAATCTCCTCAATGATCCTGGATGCCGCAGGGAACAACCGACCGTGCCCCCCACCCCCACCCCACCCTACCTCTGCGCCAAGGGAAGAGAAAACCCGGTGGGATGCCCTGAATGCCCCCTGCCCCTGGGGCTCGCTCGCCCATACCTCCCCTTCCCGAGCCAGAAATAGACACGTTCTCGGCCCCCTCCCCGGGCGCGCGCTCCTCCCCCTCTCCCTCCCCCCTCCCGCCCGCTCCCCGCCCCCCTCCCCTCCTTCCTAGCTGCTCGGAGCTGCAGAGCGCCGCGTCCGCTCGAGCTGGAGGCGGACGAGAGGCGGCCAGGGCGCTGCCCGCGGAGCCGCCAAGGCCCGGCGGCCGGGGCCCGGGGACCAGGCACCGACGCGCGCCCGACTTCGATGGAGCTCTTGGGGAGGGGGGGGGGGTCATCCATCTTTCTTTGGACTGATTGAAATGTTTTAATTTGTGTTTTTCCCCCCGCCCCGCCCCTTCTCCTCCGACCCTGCCCCATCACGCCCGCCGTTTCCTGGCTTTTTCCTGGTCTCCCCCCCCCCCCTCCCCGGCTTCCTTCCCTGCGTTCTTCCTCCCACCACCACCCCCCCCCCCACTCCCTCCCCACCGGCGCCCTTCGCTGCACGTCTCTCGCCTCCTTTTTCCTTTTCTCCCCTTCTTGCTCGGTTTCTCCCGTCCTTTCTCTCCCCGCTCGCCCTCCGCCCCTCCCTCCTCCCCCTCCCCTCCCCGCCCCGCGCTCCCGCCCCTCCTCCCCCGCCCCGTGCCTGCAGACGCGCGGGCCGTCCATGCGCTCCCGGCGGGCAGAATGCTGGGCAGCGGCGTCAAGAGCGCGCAGCCCGAGGCGGAGCTGAGCGGCGGCGGCGGCGGGGACGAGGGCGCGGACGAGCCGCGGGGAGCCGGCAGGAAGCCGGCCGCCGGCGACGGCAAAGCCATGCTCCCCAAGCGCGCTAAGGCGCCGGCCAGCGGCGGCGGCGGCGTAGCCAAGACCAGCGCGGCCGAGCTGAAGGTCTTCAAGTCCGGCAGCATGGACAGCCGCGTCCCCGGCGGGCCGCCCACCTCCAACCTGCGCAAACAGAAGTCCCTCACCAACCTCTCGTTCCTCACCGATTCCGAGAAGAAGCTGCAGCTCTACGAGCCCGAGTGGAGCGACGACATGGCCAAGGCGCCCAAGGGTTTGAGCAAGATGGGGTCCAAGGGCCGCGAGGCGCCGCTCATGTCCAAGACGCTGTCCAAGTCCGAGCACTCGCTCTTCCAGGCCAAGGCTGGCCCGGCGGGCGGCGCCAAGACGCCCCTGGCCCCGCTGGCGCCCAGCCTGGGGAAACCCAGCCGCATCCCGCGGGGACCGTACGCCGAGGTCAAGCCGCTCAGCAAGGCGCCCGAGGCGGCCGTGAGCGACGATGGCAAATCCGACGACGAGCTGCTCTCCAGCAAGGCCAAGGCGCAGAAGGGCTCCGGCGGGCCCGTGCCCTCCGCCAAGGGGCAGGAGGAGCGGGCCTTCCTCAAGGTGGACCCCGAACTAGTGGTCACCGTGCTGGGCGACCTGGAGCAGCTGCTCTTCAGCCAGATGCTGGGTAAGTCCTGCCGCCCCGCCCCACCCCACCCCACCCCTCGCCTTCTTCTGGCCAGCTGTAGGGAGGTGGAGGAAGGCGATGCTGCCGCCCCTTCCCCCTCTCGGTCGGGTTCTGCTGATCACTGGGCAGGTTTGGAGGGGCACTGCCTCCAGATGTGCAGGGCTAGCCTACCAGAGGCGCCTGGCCGAAGTGTGCCTTGAGATGTTTCCGCGAGGGAGCCCAGGCTCTCCGCCTGGTCGGCCCGAGGTGAGACTGGACAATGGGTTGGGGGACTTAGGGTTTTCAGAAATAGAATCATTAACTCCCTCCAAGTCCAGGCAGAATGTGAGGCTGCGGGGGAGATCTGGGCTGTGGAAGCGATCTGCGCCGGACAAGACAGTATCTAGCGTGCTGTGGTCGAGTCAGTAAGAGCCTAGATCCAGAGCACAGATGTGGGGAGAACAGATGTGAGGGCCGGTTGGCTCTGGAGCAGAGCTGAGGCCCCACTTCCTCTGTGGATCCCGAGTGTGAGCTCCAGTCGGATTTCCCCAGTGTGAGGGATCTGGCAAAGAGAAGTAAAGCATCTGGAACCGGAGGTGACCGGGCAGCCAGCTGTGCGCATCTGGATGCCTGAGAAGCCATATTCCTCAGCCCCAGGTTCTGCCCCAGCCCCCTCCACCAGGGTCGTTTAGGGAAAGGTCTGGGCTTTTTTTTTTTTTTTTTTTAATGTGGGAGACTTGGAAGACATTGCCCTTTGGCTAATGAAAGCCAAGCAAGCCGGGTAGAGAGGAACAAAGCTTGGAGAGGTGCCCCATTGTTCTCCGACCCTGAAGAGTCCATGCAAAAAGCCTGCAGCACCCTGGGAACTGGTCTTGCTTTTTTCTAGAGCCCCCTGCCCTCAGAAAGAGATAAGTTGAAGATGTGCTGAACACAAACTGGGAGCTTCAGGAGCCCACAGGGTGGTGTGGGGGGCCTTGGGAGACTGGTGGAGAGGCCTGGAGTCTGGGCAAGCCACCTTGCCTAAGGACTTGTTGCAGTGACTGGGATGGGGATCCTCCTGCCCTGGCACTGAGGGACCCAAGCTTCCCAATACCCTGCATACTGCCCGCCCAGCTGGGGCTGGGAAGGGGTGTGTCATGTGTGTGAAGGGGGCGGGACCGAGTGATGAACAGACTGAATGACCGCTTGGTAGAGCAGAGATGGATAGGCCAGTCACCCATGGAGAGTGCCCAGCTTGAAGGAGGCCCATTTGGCCTGCCCTGATCATTCTGGTGCCTCCCGCCTCCTCTGTAGGCCAGGATGAGAGTTCCATAAGCAGGAATGAGGAACCTGTCCTCGTGGAGGAGGCCACAGATGGGTTTTTGCAGAGGCAATTAGGTGACTGGACAAGGGCAAAAGGGGAGAAGCAGCCTCGTCCCCCAGAGAGCCCCTTCTGAAAGCCATTATTGTCTGGGCAAAGTATGAATTGGGGGGTGGAGTGTGTAGAAGGGATGAGCCCACCTTGAACTTGTCCGGAGAGCCTGTCAGAGGGTCTGGCTCTCAAGGAGCTTGCAGCCCAAATGGAGCCAGACAGATAATGAGGTGATTTCAGACAGGAAGGGAGGACTAAGGAGAACTGGAGCTGGATTGTGTGCTGCAGAGGAACTGGGTAGGGAGACCTGTGTTAGGCCTGTCTGCGGAGGTGGCTGTGGAATTGTGACCTGAAGCATGCAGCTGACTGAGAATGAGCATTGCCAGAGACTGAGAGGGTGGTAGGAGAGGAGAGGACCTTGTGTGCCTTAGGCAGGAAAAAACAAGTGTGAGAAAGCAGAAGGACTGAGAGATCAGAGGGCACAGAACCATTTTCAAGGTCAGAGCTTATACCCTTTGGGGTGACCAAGCTGATCTGGGCCTTCTCACTCTGCAGATGGCCCCAGAATTGATTGCCAGTTACGGACCTCATAACTGCTTAGGGGTTCACCACAGGAACCCCGACAGGTAGTCCTAGGGCTGGCTGGAGGGCGGGGACAGGGGAGAGAGGCTGAGCTGTGCTTCCTTATTCCTGCTCTTGAACTTGTCATTTCCTCAAGCATACCTCCACCTATCTGGAGAAATAGAAGGTCCAAAGTGTCATTTGCATGGATGAGTCCCCAGGCCCAAGACTCTTCTTTCCTAGGACACCTGGTTGAGAGAGGTTTGAGGCAGCAGTTCCAGAGGGGCACAGGTCACCAGAGCAGCCCTGGGAAGTCCCCAAAGGGCTGAGAGGCTTTGCTCTCAGGTGCAGGGGAGAGTGTGAAGTTTACTGGGTTCCCAGTTTGGTTCACTGGGCTACCTCCAGCTGAGAGACCAAAGGCCCTGGGAGGTCATGCTTGGAACCAGATGACAGGAGCAGCTGGTGACTCTAGGCCCAGCTTTGCTCCTGTCTGAAGGCAGGATAGAGTATGTACTGGCAGGGTGGGGGTGAGGAAGACCTATGCCAAGGGCCTGTAAGGTGTGTCCAGGGTCAGGCAGGCCCTTGATGGAGACCAGTATGGCCTCTGGGGAGAAGAATGCCTGCCCTGATGTGTCAGGATGGGAGCCACGACATGGTATTTGTTCCTTCCAAGAGACCAGAGCATTTCCTGGTCCCATCCCAGACACAAGAAGCTGCCAAGACCCAATTACTGAGGCAGTGGGTGGGGGAGACAAGGCAGTCCCAAATGAGAGCCTTCTGGTATAAAGGGAGAGAACTGAAACCTGATCTTCCCCTTCCCAGAAATCAGCTGGGGCCCAGATGGCCTAGGCATGCTCCCTGTCCCTCTCCTCACCTTGGAAGCTGCCAAGTAACTAGGGTCTCCCTGGGGAATCCTAGAAACTTAGAAGACCAAGGGGGTGCGTCCCCAGGGGAAACAGGCCAATTCCAGGAATCGGATGGCTTTGCATTCTAGCCCCATAGTCCTCATCAGGCACTTTGGCTCCTGGAGGCAGATCACCAGGCCTGATCTGAGCCTGAGCAGGAAGCTATGTTCCTGAGTTCCTGGCCCAGGAGTCCTAAGCTGCAGGTTCTCCTCTGAGGTTCAGGTTCCTTGAGAGAAAACACATCTTTACCCTGAAAGGCTAGAGGAAATGGGACTATCCCAGGTAGCTTAAAGAGTTTATATTAACACAGAGCAGTTAACTAACATTCAAGCCTCACATTTCCTCCTCACCAAAGTCGGTCTATTGACTCCCCCAAACATCTAGATTTTTTTCCTTCAGTCTTCCAGAAAAAGAGGACAGAATGAAATAGTTAAGAGAACCCAAGGTCAGGGTCTGAAAGAACCCAGGAACTTGGACCAGTCCCACTTTTTCACAGTGGGTGCCTGACCATTGGGGGTGGGTGGTTATGCTGACAGACCCTCAGAAGCTCAGGCCACATAGAACTGAGGGAGAAAAGCAGGAGGCTGTCCACTTCCGTGGGTTGCTGTGGAACCTTAAGGGTGTCAGGAAGAGGACCACTCCAGAGTAAGATGCTTTGAATAGGAGAGGATGAAATGCCAGCCCAGACTCCCCACACACACACTTTTTTTAATTCAATGCTCTTGGGAAGGGGAGGGGACAGTAGAGATATGCATTCTCCATAGAAGAATGGCTACCTAGAGCAGACAGGTACATGTGCAAGCTCACCCAACACCTGAGCATCAGAGGTTCCACCCAGAGCCAGGCCTGGCTCTTCCCAGGGCTCCCTAAGGCCTGACAGGAAAGTGTGAATGAAGCTTACTTCTGCTCTTTTCCTGGCAGCTGCAGTGGGGCTGGAGGAAGAGTAAGGCTGTGCAAATCATAGGCTCATGGGGTTCTGACAAGCAGGTGAACATGCATTGCAGAGCAAAAGCTGCCTTGGAACTTCGGAGCCTGAGATCTATTACCTTCCACAGGGTTAGCTCTGAGGACAGTATTTCTCCCTACTTCATTCAGGTTGATTTGTTGCAAGGCCAGACTCCATCCCCTACCCAAGGAGTGGATGAGGGTCCACCCCTCTTTGCCTCTTCTCTGAGCCTTGCCTTGTTCAGATTGTTGCAGTGAAGCTGGCCTCCTCACAAGACAGCTTGGATCTTAGGGGTAGACCCTCTGTCTGGGCAGAAGGTACAGAGCACAAGTGCTAGAGAAGTTCTGTCCAGGGGAATGTCCTTGGCCCACTCCAGGCCACAGGCCCTTTCTAGACCTCAGTTGAAAGGACTAAGTCACCTGGAACCCTGAGGTATTTCCTGACCCTTCTCTCTTTCCCCCCTTGCCAATGTGTTTCTGGGGCTATAACTACCCCTACCTGTTCCCTGCCTCAGGCTGCCAACATCAGGTTTTCCCTTCCCGATAGCGCTCCCTCCACACATGTATTCACCCCTCACAGCCTGTCACCCGAGGGCTTGGTGGTGCACGTGCTTTGCTTCATGGAGCTTGGGAGCCTGGTTCTGTACTGGCCAGGCTGAGCAGAGACTCTGAGTCCACTCCTGCCACTCGGCACCCTGCTGTCGAGTCACCTGTGTGGTTTGCTGCAGCGTCTCCCTGGGCAGCCAGCAAGGCAGATCCGCACCTCTGCAGAGCATTCTGCCTCCCTCAGCCTTCCCTGGAATTTCACAGAACCAAAGAGTGGAAATTGTCTGGTTGAGCCACCCACTTAGAGCTGAAATTAATCCCTCTGTGGCATCCTAGGCAGGTGGGTGTTCTGTTTACACACTCCTAGTAACAGAGGGCTCACTACCTTATTTCCCTATAAAGCAGTCATTATTGGAAAGATCTTTTTTTTTCCCCCTGTGAAGCCAAGATTCTGTCTTCTGAGAATTTCCATCCATGGCCCAAATTTGCTCCCTGATCCTGACAGATGGAGCTAGCTTGCCTTTCACAGAGTTCTTATATTTGAGGTCAGACACTCAGATACCTAGCAAACTCCATCTCATCTTTTCTTCCGTTGTCTTCTCCTTTCATTTTCTTAACATTTGTCTTGAAATGAAGACTAGATAATGCAGAGCCTGGCCTGCTCACCTGGCTCCCAAGCTCAGGGGATTCCATCCCCCTGGACCACAGCACTG